CGCCAGTACAGGCAGCCGCCATCTTGCACCGCCATCTTGTCTACGAAGGCTCATGAAGGGCAAACTGTGGTGGCGGCGTCAAAAACGGTTTTAGTTGTAATACTATAAATGTAATATTTGTTGTCTGTCATTGTAGCTGGTATAATTTTACTTATTAAAGCTCATAATCTTACCACTTGAAACATCACTAGCCCTGAAGCTGCTGGTAGACATCGCGGTTGGAATTATCAAAGGTTTTTGACACCTGAGAGACACCGTAGCAACTCCTTTGTGTTTGGAAGCTGGGGGTGGGGGTGGGGGGAGGACCAGGGAGGATGATTCAACCACTCAACTACTAGATGTCGCTGAAAACAACAAATCCTACACACTGTGCCTTTAACATGACCCCTGGTGTAACATTAATAATGCATTGCCAATATGAATTCTGTGGAGTGAGAAAGCTACAGTGTATTGGTATACATATGCAAAAGTGAATTGTTTTTGTTGTTGAAGCATTTTGCTTGTATGTATATTGTCCTGCAGCATATCTCTTCACAAACTTCAGCCTTACATTTTCCATGAGCCTGTGATGATGGTGGATGTGCAGTCAACATCTGGTCATAGTTTCACCCACCATCATCTTCTTCTACCTGGTGGGGCTCTCTGTTGCTCAGTCTGGCAGTTTGTTTTCTGTTTTCCTTGCCTTAAAATAGTCCAAAGCAAGTCAATAGCACACACCGATTTCTGCCAAGTCCMTGCTTGTGGACTGACTGGCAAGTAGAAAATGTTGGTCTTATATGAATGCACATCTCGTGGTGAGGGAAAATAAAATAGCTGTGTTGATGTTGGTACTTATAAAACATCACATTTACTTCAGAAATGTATACAATGCATTATGCACACAGCAGCAATCACATGACAGTGTAAACAATATATTTACACAATGAGAATTGACAACACACAGAAACATGTCACTGATATACAGTTCTCATAAGATGGATATTAAAGAAAAACAATGGCAACGACTAATTTTAAAGTGCCACCGTTCTGCAGCATATTGCAGCACCAGACTGTGTTTCTGTGATTGAGGTTTTGCTGCAGAACCCTTTTTATTATGTGAGGCATGTTATGTTTCAAAGTTTATGTTCATGCTTCAGTAAATCCGTGGCTACCTGCTGGAGATCCTGTTACGAATGGCAGAGCATCGGAAACAGAAAGAGGTGATGTGCCAAAGAAATGCAAAGCAAATGAAGACACAACACTTCCTAGTTTGTTAAGCAATCTGAAAATTTTAAACAGAACTGCRTTGCAAGTATCAAGTCATGTGGGTTGCTCACAATAGCAAATGACACATTTTTCTGTTCCTTCAAGAAAAGGCCTTCGGGACACGCTGCTTCACAAGTACGCCGTCAAAAAGTCTGYCTGATCCTCCTAACAGTTTACATTATCACCCTGTTCGTGCTGAAGTTGCTCAGAGCTGAAGAGGGCACGCAGCAGCGGTGCATCACTGTCGTCAAACTGTTTCAGTGGAGGAGTTGACAGACAAATGGCAACCTTGAGGAGCGTGTGTGTATGTGTGTGTGTGTGTATGAGATGACAGAAGGAGACAATATATTTGCCAGCGGCAGCTCTCGTTGAGGCGTGCCCATGTGGATCTGCTGACCTGCTCGTGTCTGCTTTGGTGTCTGGACTCCCCGCTCACCCACTGTGTCCCAACAAAGACAGCAGCCCTTAATTGGCTTTCCTGCTTCAGCTCGGATGACTCACGCTGTGGCCCGACGTGATGCCACACTGGTTCCGGCAACAGTTAATTCGACTTTATTGATGAGTCATGGATCTACAAATAAATTTACCCAATCACCTGAAGTAAAGATACACTAGAATGCACAACAAGTGCTAGCACTCATTAAATGAAAAAGTACAACAGGTTTAATTTTTGTAATGAGTAAGATTATTAGCCTCCGACAAAAGGCAAAAGCAGACACTGTTTTTGCCCGTGTTCATGTGTGTATTTTTATGAGGATTACAAAAAGAAACATTTAGGTGTACATCTACAAGTAATTAACTTATTACTTATTATTATTCAAGATGGCTGCCACAGCCAACTGAACTATAAAAAAACAAACAGAAATTGATATAACACTCAGATTTGCATACACTGACCTAAAATTAGGTGTGAACACATATTCTGATCAACACGCGAATACTTTGTTTAAAGTTTTAGGTATTTGGAATGAACTTTGCTTGTCTGTTAGCATAATATCTCATGAACCACTAAACATATTTTAATTAAACTTCTTGAAAGTAATCATTAGATAGACGTCTACAATCGATTAAAGTTTCAAATGAAACCAATTTATAATGATAATTATAACTAACAATTTCTCAGCATAAGATTAACCTGATCTAAAATTCTGACATTGTGAGCAATGGGCATTTCTTTAAAAACTAGGCCTTAAAATACATTCGTTTCCATTTTCTCAGGGAAGATCTTGCTCATTTGGTGTCTGCACGATTTTATGCAAAGTATCGAAAATACCTTTTCCCTCTCTACTAAAAGTAGTTTTTTTACCTCCTCTTATTGCTCCCAAAAAGTCAAAACCTGCCCTAATTGTGTATTTATCTTGTGCGGCCAGAGGCTCTTAAGGCTTCAAGGTGTTTTGGGTAAAGCTATAGATATCACTAATGGTAAAAAATGCTGCGGAGGGAGGGTGTTCCTGGCACTGTATCAAAACGCGGTTGGATGAAGGAGAGCGTGAGGCACCATGCTGCCTGGATCATTGAGTCACACACTGAGAGGATAAAAATCTGCAGTGACTGTCTGCTCTCTAATGATCCTGCAGTGGAGTATGTGAAAACACATTAGCCAATAGCCAGTTGGTGGTGATTGTGTTTCTGCACGAGTGTCAGAGTGCAGATTCTGTTGTGCATATGAAACATGACGGTTGAAACAAAACTGCACTTTGTCTTGCCAGCGAGCTGCAATAAATCACAATAACACTCATTGCTCAATATCACAGCATTGCTGGCTCGAAGTGTGTGTCTGCGTGAGAGATTTTTCTCACATTTCACTCACTGCTTGACGGTTAAAAAGTCATGAGACAGAAATAGATTTCCTGATTAATTATTTAGAAACATTGTGCAGCTATTTATGGCTCCTCTTGGCTACGGAATTACGATATTTGTGGTTTAGCCCCTGTAATTTATACCCCATAAAGCACATCTGATAGAACCTTTACAACGACATTACTGTAACCAACTTATTTTAGATCCAAAATGTATCTTGTTGGCTGCGAAGTGGCCTTGGGGCAATCCCGTATGAGATTGTGAGTAAGCATGTGCAGCTTTAGGGCTCTAATTGCTTTAAAATGTATGCCACATGCATCTTTTATGTGCATCTTTTTGAAAGCTTGGACAGGTTGTGGGGGGGTAGCTCAGAACGAAGAGGCTGAAATGCAACCCTCTCCAGAAATGTTAATAAAAAAATGCTTCCTGTAGATCTTCTGTGATGCTGTCTGTTTCTCAGCAAATTAATTAATTTAATTGAGCCCCTGAGTCAAAAATTACACTGACTTATTTTCTTTGAAGATGAGAAAAGGAAATCTTTTGTCATAAAATTCCCATAAACATGGAAATTAAAAAAGAACAACAAACAGTGTATTAATGTTGTATTCCTATTGAACACAAAGGGAGCTCAGTGAGAACAATGATGGGGATGAAAATATAAAGACTAAAAAATTATAATTATTATAAATATTATAATATCTGAGTTAAAATGTCTGTGATTTAGTATTATAAAGATATTGTAAAAATATTTAAACTTAGTAAAATACAAAAATGTGGGATAAAAAAAAGGGCAGATTTTGTCTATTATTTAACAAAAACCTCACCAGAAGTGGTTGTTTTGTTTATTTATTTTCTTTATTTTTAATGGCCTTTCTTTACTCAGTTTTAATGTAATAATAACTTAAGCAAGTCTAATTTCAGAATTATTTCTCATTAATTAAACACATTTTCTTTGTATTAAAATGGTAAATTATACTCAATATGCAAACAACAAACAGATGTTGGAGACAAAACTGCAGAGACAACAGATTTTTTTATTTTTCATTACATGACACAAGCAACTTAAAACATTTCTTGTGATATTTACATTAGTTTTTTTTTATTAATTGAGATACGATTTTCTTCTTTGACAAGAAAAAAAGTCTAATGATTTCGGCTCAATTATTAAATTTGCTGCTCATAACACCTCAAATTAACACCTGGTTTGACGACTAAAACAAAGTAGATTCAAAATTCATCACAATCAAACACTTTATTGTGAAATTATCTAATTTTAGCTCATTGTTAATCTCAGTTTCTCAGATTTAATTTTTTAATTTTACTTATCTTCTTTTTTCCCTTAAATTGGTCATTTTAGATCATGTTAAATTGCCAACAAGAAGGTAGAAAAAATCTGCTGAGATAAACTCTCAGTTGAACAGATTAATGTAAATTTCCTTCATGAACCGACCTGTTCTTTGTAGTTAAAGCTTGTCATTGTGATGAAACATTTACCCTTTTCAAGACCTTCCTTGTGTTTTTTCTCCACTTTCCTTTTATTTATTTATTTTTATTTTTGAGCAGTGACCTTACAAACTGATGTCAACCAGTCTGCATTTAGCTTACAGGTGTTATGTAAATGCATGTCGGGGGTGTCACACCTGAAAACATGACTACAGATGAAGCTGCTCAGACCATCAGGACCTAGTTGTGTGAAATCAGCGCAGACACGTGTTTGTTGTGTTATTGTTCGCTGAGGTGACATGCAAACAGAAGCTCAAATTTCTCTGTTTATCAGGTTTCAGCTGCAGTGTGGAAGCCAGGTCCTGGGACTTGTTTTGCCAGCATTTTGTTTTCCTTTTTTATATTATTTTTCTGATATTTGAGCTTGAAATGTTTTACTGAATGAGTCAGTTTTAGGCTCCTGCACTGTGACAACAATGAATTATATGTTTTTCTGTTTCCCTTCTCCCCAGCATGCCATAAAAGCTGTGAGCAGAGGAGTGAGACCTATTGGAGAGACAAACTCCAGTTACTGGGACATGGGCAGCTCCTTCTTCTTTGCTGGAACCGTCATCACAACCATAGGTAATAAATTTATAATTTTCTTCTGCTTTTCTTTTTTTTTCTTCTTTTTTCACAAGTTGTGATATTTCACATTAATAAAGGCCTATTTACAGGACAATTATCTGCTTAAATGGTTTTATTTATGAAATAATTCCAATTATTAAAAAAAATAATTCCAGAAAAATAACAAAACTTTTAATTTGACCTCTCATTGAGTCACTTAGGGCTAATACTTTACTTTAAAGTGACAAACTATTTTGAAAAGCAATTGATTAAAAAGTCTTTTTCGTCTTATTTAAACCCAAAAGATGTAAGAAAGATGTAATTAATTTAAAACAAGACATTTGTTGGGAATAAAACCATCCAATAAAATTTAAAAATAAAAATAGAAAGATACACCACAGTGTCAGAAAATATCACTTAATCATTATTATTAAAAACGATGATGGAAGCCATCATCAACTCATAAGTTTTGATGCATGTGTGGATATAAATAATTAAATCAAGTCATATTAAAAATAGGAACTATTTCATTTTAGATTAGTTTAGAACACAAGAAATTGTTTAGGAACTACTTATATTCTTCAGAAAGCTTCAAAACCATTTTAACCCAATGGTAGTGCTTTGTAAGAATAAAATAAATAATAATAAATAAAACAACCTGTTTACTTTTTCTGTGCATTTCCCCAAGATGATTTTTTAAATAAGTCAGCACTTTATGTGGTAAACTAAACTGAAGAAATGTGTGTGAAGGCTGTAAATGAACCAGAAATCTACAAAAACACTTATGTGAATTTGATATACATGTTGCTGTTTTACACATTCAGTTTAATGTAATGATATTTTGCATTAATATTAAAAATATTCCATTTATAAAGGATTTTCACAATTTGACCCAGAATTTCCTTTATTGCACAACATGTTTTATTTGACATCAGTCAGAGAAATAAGAGACACCTGCTAAGGGTTTGTATTAATCTTTCAGATAATTACAGCTCCTTGGTGAGTTTTACTTTGTTTAGTCCAATAATGAAGTTAATGACTGTGGGACTTCACATGTGAAGCTCAGCATTTTCATAATTGCGACTGCTGACACCAACAACAAGTTACGACTCCTTAAACTACATTTGCTGCTTTTCCAAGGCAAACATATGGATGTCTGATAGCAAGTCCATTTCATATACACGGGGTTAGGTCACTGCTCCACACCAGAGTTTCATTTCGTGGGCTGCTTCTCATGCAACTGACAAATGAGGCCCTCAATACCTAAAAACAAAGGATGCTTCAGAGTATCCTTCACAGCCAATGATATCCCAGGATTCATTGTGCCATCATCAAAAATATTTACAGAAAAAAGAGAATCATCACAGATCAAAGAATTCGTTTTATAGCAGTTGATGAAATTTATGCTGCAATTTGATTTTAAATAACCTTTAATTACAATTACTGATACTGCACCCCCCAAATATACTTATGTACAAGTACGACACACATTTCACACAGACAGTTTTATAACAATAAACATGAACAGTGAACATGAACAGTGAAAGCCACCTGAGTAAAATTATAAAAGCATACAAAAAATCCTAAATAGCAACTATAGCCACACTAAAAGAAGGATTCACAATACTTTTATGAAGTGCTGATACTGGAGCTAATCCCAAATTATTAATGTTGTTTGTGTATTTACATGTTAAGTTTTAAAAAATACACTAAATTTTGGGAAGTTGTACTTGTTGTGAAAAGACGTGAATGTACTATATGTTTTAATGCATTTTAAGTTTTAGGCATTTATGGGCAATGTGGCATAAAATGTAACACGACAGGTAGTGCGTGGTCACGTCACACAAACACGAATGTCATCCATGGGCGCAGACTATGTGGACTGCAGCCCCTGAATTTAGACACAGCTACAATGTGGCTGCTTTTTATTATAATGTTTGGAGATTTGAAGAACACTGGTGATAACTTCACACCATTTACTTCATCTCCAAGTTATGAATTTTTTTAAAAGCTTTAATAATGAGAACAAAAAAGAAAAGTAAATATGTAGTTGAACTATGATAAGATGGGATAAACTGAGTCAGATTTGCTGTATGCTGCATTATGGGCTTTTTTACTGTACATAATTGTATCCCTGTATGTTACTTTTGGGTCATTAGTAATACAATTGCCTTTAAGGCGAATCTGATTACTGTCTCTGCTAGAGCGTCTCCATGCACTAAAAGGCATTACATAAGAGCTTCAATTGATTTTGTTGCATAAGAAGGGCTTGATTGACATTGTCTTCTCGTCACCTTGTCCATTTTGCCCGTCAGTAAGTTTTTGTTTTTAATGGAATGGTTCTTCACCAATTGTTTCTTCTTCTTTCGCCCCTCTCTTTTCTTCATCTTCCCAACAATGTTTCAACAGGTTATGGAAACATAGCTCCAAGCACAGAAGGCGGGAAAATCTTTTGCATTCTTTATGCCATATTTGGCATTCCTCTCTTTGGCTTTTTGTTGGCGGGCGTTGGAGACCAGCTGGGCACCATCTTTGTGAAAAGCATCTTGCGAGTTGAGAAGATATTCAGGGTGAGTATCAAGTTTTAGTTTGGAATGGTTTTTTATGTTTTTGTGTCCTTGTTTCTTTTTAGGTTTTAAACCTGTTCTAACAGTGTGAAAGAAAGAGTGGAAAACATTGAATATGAAAGTATTAGTCCTTGTTATGGCAATATTTATTTAACAAAGACAGAAATACGTGGTCCAAGAATGAAGGTWCTMNGTGAGATGATCAGCTGAGTTTTATTGCAACAACAGGAAACACAGAGAACAACCTGTCTCTGTGCCTCTGCTTCTCTCTGTCACTGTCTGTCCACACTACTCACTGTTGAACACTGTGTCTCGAGAGGCCTCATATATATATATATTAACAAACACCATTATGTCATCTTAGCAAGATTTGATACAAGGTCAATGGAAAACACAAAGATAAACACAAGTGATATCTAAGAATGACTGTTGYTAGCAAATCTTGTTCTGACTTTAATCATTCTATCTGCAGATGAACAGCATGTCATGAAAACCTACATCATTAAAGGATGTTATGAATAACTAGCTTAAACATAAAAGTATTAGATCCATTACAGTCCTTTATTAACTTTTTAAAAATTTCTTTGTGTTTTTAATATTCTGTTTTATCTAATGTTCACTTAGGTGGATGGAGAGTTATCTAATAATATACGTTTTCTTATTCTAATAGTTTCTTTTTTCTGGTTTTCTCAGCAAAAACACAAACAAATCAGCCAAACAAAAATCAGGGTGACGTCCGTCATCCTGTTCATCTTGGCTGGCTGCATCGTCTTCGTCACCATCCCTGCTGTCATCTTCAAATACATTGAAAGCTGGACCACACTGGATGCAATCTACTTTGTTGTGATCACTCTCACCACAGTGGGAATAGGAGATTACGTGGCAGGTATACAGTCACAGCAAAAGCAGTTTTTTGTCATTTTGTAGTGTTTTGTTTAAGTAGCATGACTTAGAACTTCTAATGACACTTCTGTTTTCCCTTTCTCACCAGGTGACAATCGAACCATTGAGTATATGAGCTGGTACAAGCCCATGGTGTGGTTCTGGATCCTTGTTGGTTTAGCTTACTTTGCGGCTGTCCTCAGCATGATTGGAGACTGGCTTCGAGTGCTCTCAAAAAAGACCAAAGAAGAGGTGAGGTTTAGTCACAAAAATTATAATAAAAAAACTAGAAAGATGTTTGTCCTGTTTTTAATAGCTGTGAACAAGAAATATGCCATTTTCTCAAGTAAGTCTTTTTAAGTAGTGTTGATAGGAAGCACAATTTAACCAAACATGTTGTAAACATATTCCTACAGTTGTCTTATTTTTAAAGCTGAACATTTTAGGCACCATTTGTTACCACAAAAATGTCCATTTAAGCCATTTTTTCAAGCACAAAAATGTCCATTTAAGCCATTTTTTCAAGCACAAAAATGTCCATTTAAGCCATTTTTTCAAGCCCAAAAATGTCTAAAATGATGTATTGATACAAAAGCCAAAACAAATACTGTTTGAAAATACAATGATCTCAAAAAAATATTTTTGGTAAAGGTTCTGCATTTAATTTAACCTTCATTACACCCTCCTACATCAAAAATGAGAGTTCACAGGTCTTCTGTTAGGCRACTTTACATGTCATCACAGTCATTTTATAATGCTGCAAATCCTCTCACCCAGCCCCCAGTCTTTCCAGCCATATTGCACCCAGCCTCCACTACTCTTATGAGTGGTGAGTTAACATAAAAATAGCATCCTCTAGATTTTTAACTTGGGACCTGGCCAAGCTCCAAGGCTCTTCCACAAAGCAGGTTCAATAAAGGTGCACTGGTTTCCAGATTTAGATGAATGTGTGTTTTCCTGAAGTCTTGCTTTATAGAGGTCTTGTTCTTAGTCTGACTTCTCCCCTGAGACTGATTTGCTAGGAGAGACCCTACCATTGCCTTGGAACATGTTAAAGTAGTATTTCTGTGGAGGGGAGTGTTCCCTTCTAGGTGGTGGTGAGAATATACTTGAAGTGAAGAAGTATATTGTGGCCTTGTGCATGAGTGATGGCAGAATGGAACATGAAATGAACAGATGGATCAGGGCTTAAACAGCAGGAATGAGAGCACTGTTTCAGTCTGTGATGGTAAAGAAAAAACTGAGACAAAAGGCAAATGTCTGACTTTATTGGTCCAGTTTTATTAAAGTTCTAACCATGACCACAAGTCTCAAAGGGGCAATATCAGGTAAAATCAACTTTTTTGAGTTTTATATCATGTTGTAATGTTATCCTCTCATCAAAAACATGCCCATAGTCTTGCTTTGACTCATTCATGCATGTTTSAGAAATCCTGTAGTGTCCTGAGGCAGCAGGCAGGAGAGCAAAAATGACTGGTTGGGACTAGAACCGCCTTTTGGGACCAGCTCCTCCTCTGGGCTGTGTCTTCAAGCCGAGCCTCCTCATCACAGAGCACACACACACACACCCAGCCCCATGCTGAAATGGGCGGGACAGAAGTGAAAGGAGGTTCTTGAAGAGACAGAGGCCAATTTCAAGGCGTTTAGGAACAGATGTGATGAGAAGTCAAGTTCATTT